TGGGGCGGCCGTTGGGGCGGCGCCGCGGCGCGGGCTGAGGGCTGCGCGCCGCGCGCTGCGCGCCGCTTGTTTCCCGGCCGTGGCGCCCTGCTTCCCCGGGCGCGATCCCTGCGCCACAAGCGCGGGAAAAGCGCAAGGAAAAGGGCGTTTCGTTGCAGCTAAGCCTGGCTTACTGTTCAGCACCCCGTGCCCGCCGAGATCACTGCCCCTCCATGCGCCTTCTTCAAGGCCTCGCAACAGCTTCCTTAAAAACTTGCGTGGCCTCCAAAGGGAGGTTTTTCCCCGTATTCTTAGAATGGCCACGTAGCCCTAGGACTGTCATTAAATCAGCGAAAGCTTCAGGGCGAGATGTCTACGTACAGTGCTGCACACCGACCGTGCAGCTCCGCTGCGCGGCTCTGTGCTCACACACCAGCTTTCTATTCCAGCCACCACACGCACTGCTAATTCCTGTCATGTTGTTTCATGTCCTATATTTTTTCCATATTAAAAGAAAAAAAAAAAAAAAAACAGGAAAGTAAGCTGAACATTTGCCCCACACTTAAGTGCCTTTAATCCCTATTCTGAATGGTTATACCAAGCTTGAATTTAATCATTTGTTTCATGACTTGAAATACGCCTTGCATCATCCAGTGCCTCACTACTGCTAGAAATACTTCCCAATGCATTACTCCATACATGAAATAGCATAGACGAAAACAAAACAGAGCCCAAGACTAAGTTACCCTTCCCCAGAATCTGACAGARAAATGGAAGGTCCAACATAAAAACCACACACATGCAGAGTGAAACAAAGGGTTAATGACACTTACTTTCTATTTTCTCCTCTTTCAATATATTTTTACTTGTCTTTTTTTCYGACAATGGTCTCAAAAGAAATTGCATTTTTTCACTTACTTGAAGAGCAAGGCTTCCATCTCCTTGCTTGGTCCCTTTTGTTGGGACTGGCTATCTTACAAATAAAATGTAGTACAGCACAAGGAAAATAGAAAGTAGTACAGCACACTGCCAATAAATAAATAAATAAATACTTAACCCTCCCTTTTTTTCTTGCCTCTCCAGTACTCCCAAGCCTTGCCCTTACAGCAAGGAGCGGCCCTTGCGACGGCCCCAGGGCCAGGAATACTCCCCAGGGGCCTGTTTCCTCTCGGCAGCTTCTTCTCTCCATGGTCTCTCAATAACGTCACGCCTGAGTTCAGGTTGTCTCCCCTGGCACTCATAGCTCGGGCACCTGAGGGGCAGACGGAGCTGAATCCAGCTGGGAAAGGGTATGTCTTGTTATGAACATCCCTGGTAACTTGGCCCAGCAAATTCAGAGATGTCAATGACCATGTGCCACCCTCTGACCTCTCYGGCCTCAGCAAGATGGAGAGACCGCTTCAATACCTGCCTAAGGAGCAAATCCTTATGTCTCATGCCCGGGAGGGAAAGTTGCCTTTGCTTCTCCCACATATTTTGTTCCTTCCTTAACCTAAACTGTAAAGGGGCAAAGAATTCTCCTGAAAACCTACTTGCTCATGGTTTAATGGGTGAAAGTAGTAACAACAGCAGAGGAGGAAAGGCGAAGGGCTCGAAACCTTTGCATGAGGAGAGGCCAGGTGAACGCAAGAAGATGAGTCACTGCGCTTGGGCAACAAGCAGGAGAGCAAGCAGCTGAGCACCTGGTGACAGTGGGGTGACAGCAGCAGCAATCCTGTGGGGAGGGCCAAAGGGAGGCTGGAAACAAGGAGCAGCCTCCCGCGTGATCAGCCTGCAACCCAGCTCTAATTCCACTTGCTTTTTGTCCCAGGGCCAGGTGCTTAGGCTGCTGCCACACACACTCTCACCTGAGGCGCGCTCGGGAATGCAACAGCAACCAAAACAGCAGGCAGCCGGGCTGCGGTGACCTGTTTCTAACCCATCAAACCTCGAACAAAATGTTGTTTCAAACATATCAAACCTGCAAAGAAGCGCGGGGTGCGGATGTTAGAGAGCAAGTTGAGCGGAGGAGCGCGGCTGGGCCGCGTCTTGGTCCGAGCCCCTCGAATCTACAGGAGCCCAATGCATTTCTGGAGCCACAGCTGGTTAGACTGGTTGGATGGGAATTTCACAGGCTGACACCCTGTTACTCAGGTTCCTTCGGGCTCATTGACATATATTAGCTGGAGTGCAACATCAGCTCTCCGAATGTTTGGACCCTTTGTGGTTTCAGGACATGTGAGGGCCGCTTCRCAGTCTCCATGCAATGGATACGCAAATGTTACCACGCACCCTACAGAAACGTTCAGCATCTTCCTCTCCGTGGCCTCGGAGGTTTCTGTAGCTCAAACCCGCCTTTCCCTTCTCCTTGAATCCCCACATGAATTTAGCAGTGAAAAGGTGCCAGCAAGCCAAGCGAACCTCAGTGGTTTGGCTCCACGCTTGCCGCACCACAGGAAAGCACACAGCAAGCAAAGGATCTGCCCGGGTGCTCAGGGATAAGATGTGTTACCCAATTAACCGCTGCCCTCCTTACCCTGCACTCCGGGGATCCGCAGCAAGCAGATCTGCCTCGCCTGCTTAACAGGGAGCTACCTCTCCGCTGTGCATCTCGCTGCAGGTACTGAACGGGGAGATGTCTGGAGAGAAGCAAAACCAAAGTCCTTCCGCTGAAACAGTTACATAAGCCCTGTATTAAAAGAGTTACATAAGCCCCCTACAAAATACTAATAGAAAGAAAGTCAGCCAGGGGCTGGTGTTGTCTCTGCTGACCAACAGAAAGCTGCTCCTGCTGCAGAGACACTGAGCAGCTCTGCTTCGTTTCTGCTCTATGAGAAGCGAACGGGCAGAAACCGGTCACCCGTTGTTAGACAGAAACTATCTGGTGCCACATACGTGCCAAAAAGAATTATACAGCTTCGTACTTCAACAGAGAGCCCTATGGCCGGCAGGCTGGGCTGTTGTTTGCAGCTCGGGGGTTTAAATTGCTGCCTTTTTAGCCCGGGACTGTGGGCGACAAGCGAGAAGCGCTGTCAGCGGCTGCTCCGCAGCACACACAGCAACGTCAAATGATGCCAGCCACAGCGCTGTATCCCTCTGGCAGCGTTAATTATGAACAGGATGCTAACAGGCTGCTCTGGATCAATTTATAGCCTTCTGGTAGGACTCAATGATTATAAGGAGGATAATCCCCAAAAAAAAAAAAGAAAAAACAGAAACACACAAGTTATGTAAGTTGTGTGACAGTCTCAGATAGACCACGCTGCATGCTGGTTCTCAAAGCCGTAACCCCAGCTATCAATCCCCGCGTGGCCTCCGGACGAGAGCGAGAGCGGCCGAGCACGAGTGGGAGCCGCGCGCCCCAGCCCCATCGCAAGGGACAAGCTGGAGGCCGGAATTCCAGCTCAGGAGCTTGTTATTACATAACCTGACGCACCGAGAGACGAGTCCTCCTCCCCCGGCAATYGTCGGAGCCAGATCCTGAGAAAAGAAAAGGACCGCTGAAATATAGGAATGTGGCAGTCGGGGCAGAGGCTGTTTTCCCCTCCAAATGAATGCAGCCTGAGCTCTGATACTGTATTTCTGGGTTTAACGTAAGCTGAAAGACAATGACTTGCCAAGGCATCCTGAATAGCGCATAAATATCTGTATTTCAGCCGCTTAAATCCACTGACAGCCCTGATATGCTCCTTTGTGTTTGGTTAACATGGCACGTAATCTGTTTACATTTGCTAGTCTAGCATAAAAACCTCATAGTCCGGGGTATTTGTGGTCGAGAAGTATTTGCTTAGTACTCGCCCGCTTGAACTTTATAAAGGAGGCCAATTGTGCAGCAGACAAAAAAAGAACAAAAACAAAGAAAAACCACAAAAGAGCCAAACAAACTGGGCTCAGCATTTCCAAATTAAGGCCCGAAGTCTGAGGCAACCATCTAATGACCGCTATGAAAGGTCTGGCTGCTGAGACGTGGTCCTCAGGCAGTTGTCACCTCCTGCCTGGGCCAAGCGGCCAAGCTTGGCGCAACTGCATCGTTATTCTCCACTTGTCCTGCCCATTGTAATCCCTGCGATGCTATTTCTTTCTCCCCAAAACGCAGTTCAGACGCGGTGGGTGTTTGGCAAGCTGCTGCTGTTTTCATATAAGATGTGAAATTAATTCCTGACCTTGCTTGTTGCGGCTGCCTGAACATGCCATGAATTTGCAACACGCCCTTCCCGTGTCATTTCACATGCGCTGCATGTTACACTATCCATGCAGATGCTTTATTTTCATAAAAACATCTGCTTGGAGTATGATAATTCACCAGCCTCTAACTCCTCTGTTTGCTGTGCTGCTGTGCGTGTTTTTTTAAACCCCAGTTTCAATGAAGGGCATCAAAATGAACTTGGACCATCTCCAGGCAACTGAGAGCTGCCTGGAAAGCCAAACGTAAGTGACTCGATACGGCCCTAAGGGCAGCAGGGCTTGGGCAGTGGGTGGCTCTCCCTGAGCTGGGCTTCCCACGGAGCAGCTTCCACGGAGCTTCCAAGCAGTACAAGTACCTGAAGGGATTCGGCAGACCTGCTCCCAAAGAGCTGCTCTGTTTTGCGAAAACACCTTGAGAGGAAAACCCTTGCCAAGSAAAGGCACTGAAGCCCAAGCCACTTCCCACCCGTTTCACTGGAGGTGGAGACAACTTGTGAACAGGCACCGTGTGAACAAGAGTTAAAACTGTGTATTCCTGAATCCAACAACCGGTTGTCGTGATCTGCAAGAGGGAACCGCTCCAGCAAGACCTCCAAGGGACCACGTTTGCACCTACCCCTTGGTTTATCCCCTCAGTTTCAYGCTATTCGGTTCCTTTTTACTCAACAAAGCGTCTCTGAAGGCCGTGCTCTCCAGGAAGAGGCTCTCGTTCCACACTAGGASCTGCAACATAAACACGCTCCCTTGCCTGCCAGCTAGCAGGCCGGGCCTTTACATCCTAGGTCTTTATGTCCCTCTTCATTCTGCAGGTAATTTAGCAGTTCCTTACACTAAGGCAAAAGAATATCAGCGGTTCCAGCAACATTTTCTCCTTTTCCCAGGTTTGAATAGCACTTTCACGTGGAATATTTGTGGTTTACTTGCTTTCTGATGCGTGGAGCACAGCTTGGACTTGTCTGTCCAACCTTCCTTCACTTGATTTTCACTTGATTTTCCTTCACTTGATTTTCTCTCCTCCTTTTTAAGCTGCTTTCAATAAGCTGTACATCCATTCATTTAATAAAACTTCAGGGTATCTATTTATTAGCCCTGCTATTACTTTTCAGTTCACAGGAGAAGTTCATCTAAGGTATGAGACGTAGCCCCACTGATCTTAAGCAGCTTATGAAATATTGCTGCGTTTTGCCAGCAATACCATCTCACAAACTCCTCTCAAGGGAGAGGCAGAGCATTACAGCATGCTCGGGGTATATTTTATAAATAGAGAGCAGTCAGCAGGATGTAATTAAGCCAAATATTACAGTCATRATCTGGAAAGGTTCCTCTGCAGAGCCCTGGTGTGCTGCCACTTGCTTGTGGCGGTGCTCAGACCTCGGTACAGTGTGTGCTTCACAGAGGAGCTGCCACACAGCCACTTCTGTCAAGTTTCTGGGAGTTACCTTCAAGCGGCAGAGTCAGAGACCTGCAGCAGCAATTTGTGGTACTTTGTGGGACCTTTGCGTGCCCGTAGTGTCCTTGCCATCTTTCCCAAGACCCCAGGAACTGGAACTGGATTAGATGAGMCCATCAGCTGCTTACTAGAGGGATACAGGCTAGGAGAAGTGTCTTGCACCTCACCCAAGAAGAGCCACAAACATAGGAGCTACACAAAGATGGAGAGCCAAGAGCTCTTCCGTGTGGCTGAAAGCCCCTGAGCAAACCTTGGTTAATGACTTTGGGCTGTATGCCCTGGCATTCACGCTCCTGACCTCACTTCTGTCCTCCTCGAGGCACCAACAGGCCCGAGGGCAGCTGGCGAGTTGCCCATTTGCCTCTTTTCCTCACCTGGACGTGGCATATTGCTGGGGAAGGCAGTTCAGCCCAAACAGGCAGCTTCTCCAGGAGCTGCGCTCTGCCTGCAGAAATGGGTCACCCAGCTTATCACCTGCCCCCCCAAACTACTGTGAGGATCACGGGGGAGAAGGAAGCTGCTAAGTCAGGAGAGGAAAGCACCATGTGTGCAGCTTGTCTAAATCAGGTCCATKTAACACCGGCAGCCCACGCTGGGGCTCTGACCAAACCAGCTGCTGCTCAGCCAGGTACTGCTGGAAGGCAGAACGGGACTGGGAGAAGCAGCCCGGCCCACTGCTCCGCACTGCTCCTCCTGCTGCGCCCGCGGGGAGAGAGCCCACAGGGCCTCATGGGGGCAGCCGGGCCCACGGCTCCAGGCCAGCTCCCTGGCTTACAGCGGGCTGCCAGCTCAGGGCGGCACTTGGGCAACCCCCCCTGCCCCACAGCAGAGGAGTCCCCTTCAGCCGCTGACGCCAAGGGTGCTTCCCGCGTGATTCCCCACGAGGATGTACAGCAGCTAACCTCTGCTGTCGGCATTCCCAAGCAGGAAAGCACAACCAACACGCCTGGAGATGGAAGAAACCAAGCACTAGGGTTTCATCCGCCAGCCACGGCATTCCCTGCTGCCCTCTCCTGGTTTTCCCTGCTGCCTACCCCAGAAAGCTCATGCCAGCTTCCAGTCTWTTTCCTTGCATCGGTTCTTCCCACTACCACAGTCCATCTCCTCCTCAGAGGCAGCAAGAGGCAGCAAGGAGGGAGAAGCTAGAGGCAGGACACCGGGCATCTGTCACACCGGAGTCACTCCGCAACCCGCAGCGGGTCGCGGTTGCTGTGGGGGAGGCCTGGGCGCCAGCGCGGCGGGTGACAAGCAGGGCTCCCCGGGGACAAGCAGGGCTCCCCGCTGCCGTGCGCGGAGGCCAGGCCTGGCGGCAGCCCCACACACAGGCCCGCGGCTTGGCTCTGCGCGGCAGGACTGCAGCGCGGCGAGGCAGGGAGCTCCGCACGCCCAGCTCCCGCCTTGGGGCCGCTGTCCCCCCAGGAAGCCTTGAGGACAGCAAGGGCAYTAAGCGGCAGCAGCAGCCGCCTTCCTGCCCCGCGCAGCCTGCCCGAGACACGGCGTTTCCCTTCCCTTAGGTCACAGCAGCCCCTGCTGGCACCGGGCAGGCTTGGTGAGAGCCACAGGTTCCTCAGCCTCCCGCTGACAAACGGGCACCTTCTCTGACAGCCTTCAGGAGCAAACGTGGGGCCTCTGTGCGGGACGGGATGGGACACGACAGCGCCTGATGGTGGGTGAGAGCGGGAGCCCCGGGCAGCGGCGGGGGACCTGCCACCCACCTGGGYGCGTGGGCCTCACCGCCCGGGTGCCCCCCCAGAGCGGGCACTGCAGAGCGGAGGCTGCAGAGCCTCCCCGCGTCTCGGCAAGGCAAGGGGGAGGCCCGCAGCGAAGGCAGCTCTGCCTGAGCTCAGCGCGTGCCGTGGCCTCCGTTCCCCATGCGAGCTGTGGGGATATGGGCTCCCCACCAAGAGCCGCAGGGTGTGGGATACGCCGGCCGCGCGGCCTCGCGGGCCTCGCTACAGCGGCCTCGCTAGATGGAGCTGCTGCAACAAGCAGGGGCCTCCGTGCAGCCTCCACCCTGGCGCTGGGGCCACGCTGCTTTGCTCGGCCACCAGCGCCAGGCCGCGCGAGCCACCCAAATGCTCTCGAGCTTTTGCACCCACCTTTCCAAGGGGCACCGTGCCCCGGCTCCGCTCTCCACCCCATCGCTCACCCTGACACCAGCTGATGGGACTTCTTATATGGCACTTAATGCGAAATGAAGAACGCCGGATCTCTTCGTTTAAAAAAAAAAGTTACCTTACAAAGTACACTGCTCTAAGTAATTTTCCTTGCGATTTAGCTTGGGTGTTCTAATCAATGCAACCCTGTCAGGCCTTGATGCGATGAAAAATGCTGAAAGACGATTTTCTAAAAACCATAAAAATATGCACATAGTGATGGCTGCGGCCGCCGCCCCCGTTCAGATCATCAATGTAATGATTTCCAGTTCCCTGACACCGGCCCGCACGGTGCCAACCATTTCTAAGCAGAGCTCTCCGCTGATTTCCACAGGGGGCTTCCTCGAGATCGATGGCCAGAGATGGCCCTGCTGTACATATATTTTTCCTCATACAGTGAAAGAAACTATATAAAAGCTCCGGCTATGTCAGTTAAATCTCCATATGTTTTTGGCCATCCATGTGAAACCAAAGCAAGGCATTCGTGTTAGTGCTGAAAGTGTAGCTGGTAGCCTSTCCAGAGGAAGCTCACACCTGAATCCCATGGTGGCAGCTGGCCATGTATCCAGGAATTAGAGCAAATCAAGGAAAAAGCTGAAGGGAATGTGCTTGGCTGGCTGCACTTGCAGGCCAGAGGCAGCAGGAAAACTAGTGGACTTCTGCTGGGTTTACATCGATGGTTTCCTTAGCTATTCGAGACACAAAATGTTTTTATAGCTTTGCCATAATCATGTTTTTCTTCCCGTTCCTGTTAGTCTGCAGTGGGATTTTTTTCTTCTTCTGTGTGAGTCTTGGAAAACTCCAACAGCCCCGTGTGAGGAAACAGACTTCAGTCTCAGTGTGATTTGCTGCTTAAGAAGCCTCACGATAAACGAGAACTGGGTAGGGCTACGAACCTCGAAGCCTCTTCTGTGTGAGCCCTGTTGTTTGGGTCCGATTAGTCACAAGCGTCGGGTCCTCACTGGCTTCATCAAGTCCATCTTCCTCCTCTGACACTGACTGAAAGGTCCCTTCTTCTTTACACATCTCCRCATACTAAGAGAGTTCAGAACATGTCTGAGGTTAGGAAAGATAAGCCAAATTCTGCTCAAATTGTACGATTTTCTTTAATAAATGTTCATGTTTTCCTTACTTGTGCTGTCGGCCGCGTCGCGAGCGGGTGCAGGAGCGACGCGGTGCTGCAAACGGGCTCCGGTGCAGCTCGATGCCGAGGGACGGGCAAGGCCCCGTGCGGCGGCGCACAGGGAGCACTGAGCCCTTTTCCTCGGGAATGCCGCCCGGAAATTCCCCAGACTTGCTGCCCGGGAGGCTGCGGAAGGGGGTTCTCTTCCTGCTCCCTCTTCCCGGCTTTCCCCCAGCAGGGGTCAGTCGGGCCTAAGGCTAAAACCAGATAGGAGAGAGCGACGCTTTGAACCCCGACTCCTTCTTTACTCGACGCCCAGGCAGCGTCGGGGCGCAGATGCCGGGACAGGCRCCGGCATCTTTTCCAGCGCCCTTTATCCAGGGATGCTGGACAAAGCATCCTTGTCACCAACCTACGAGCAATTCCAGTGCTTTTTACTTCATTTGGAAGACAAAAAAACACCCTGAGTTTTGCCTCAGTTTATCCACCCAGGGAGAAGACACAGAGGGTAGCGTCTCATGAGTGGAATTTCAATGAWAACTTTATTATATTTCAGTGTATTATTGGCTTAGGATTTTGTAGCCTTACAAGAAATTTCCGCTTCCACATCTCCATTAAATGTCTGATTCATTTTCTTGGCTCCCGCTAATGCCTCCGAGCTATATCACTAAAGAACCAGTGTTCTGCATTAGATAAATATAAGCCCGAGTGTGATGAACCTATTAACTATTTTTAATTAGCTTCGACTCTTCCTCAGATACCCCGTGTTTCTGAGGAGGCAGAAGGAGCACCCTGGTAGTGCAGAGCTTTACAGAGCCAGCCTAAGAGCCCAGATTATCCACCCCAGCCAGCAAAGGCTGCGCCAGGGAGGACTTTGCAGCAACACCACAATTTCCTCGCTACTGGGAAGGTCCTAATGGGCACATTTGCTGTGTGAATTATGGGCGAGAGTGAGAATTTTTAAATCTTTATAGTGCTTTTATGCTCTGCTTTCCTTTTTGGTAATCAGATCTTGATGAAGAGTTGCAATG